AGCTGGATGCCATTTGTCCTTGGGGAGCAGATGAGCAGGGGAGACACAGAGGGCTTCAGTAACTTGCCTAGAACTGCAAAGCTGCATGGAAGAGCTGTAGTTCAGACTTAGGCAGTTCAGTTAAGCTCTGGGGCCTGAGTTCTCGGACCTCTTGGCTGGGAACAGTAAGTAGTAAGGTATCAGAGTTTTTCTCAGCCTCTAGTCTGCTCTGCTCTCTACCAGTAGACATTTCATTTCACTTCAAGACGTGTTCCCAGCTGGTCACTGACCTCCGGACCCGAAGCCTGTTCCAGAGAAACAAGTGGATGCTGTACCGCCTTTGAAAAGAGCCTGCGTCAGCAAGCCAGGCCCATGGATTTCCTCATCTTAATGGCATGTTTGTTGGCAGGGGTGAGATCAATAAAGAAATGGAACGAACATACCCTTGAATCCAGATGGCCTCTGTGAGGGTGGACAAACTGACCTTCACCTCAGAGAGATGGGGGACATGTTAGGACAGGATGTCAACTCTGTCCTCCCAGGAAAAAACTTCCCAGTGGAGCCCTGACTTCTGGGATCCTGAGCCAGGGTCACAGGATTGACGTTCATGGGCCCTGGACATTTTTGTCTTTGTATGCCCCTTTTTCCAAAAAAGCATTTTAAGATCACATTATGGCCGTTTTTCTAAGAGCAAGCATATCAATATGGTATATATTAAGACTTTTTGACTAAAAAAAAATTTCTTTTTTTTTCCTTCTGATTTTCTAGGCACCTAAGTGCTGTGCTTGCTTTGCTTAATGGACAAGTCTGGCTGCTTTCGGGCCTGAGCTCACATTGGTGTCTGTGTGTCCCCGTCTCTCTTCAAATGTTCCCAGAGGTGGCAGAGAGCCTTCTGGCATACAGTGTTGGATTGACCTTTAGGACTCAGTTTAGGGCTGCTGCTTTGGCCACTGTCTGTGGCACCAGCTCCCAGGAGGGCATGGGAAGGGGGAGCAGCAGGCAGAGTGCTCTGGGATGCTCAGAGAAGGCCTTGCTCCCTGCTGTGGACCGGAGCGGCTGGGGATAGAGGGTGGTGGCTGGGTCTCAGCCATTGCAGGAGAACATAGCGGAGCTAAATGAGCCATATGTGGGGCCTGGGAGCTTCCTTTAGAGTCAGGTTGACTTCAGTGATTCTCAACCTGGAATCAGTGTTTGCTTCTCAGGTGCCATTTGGCAAAGTTTGAAGACATTTTTGGTTGTCCCAACTTGGGAGGGTGCTAGTGGCGTCTGGGTGGTAGAGACCAGGGATGCTGCTCAACATTCTGCAACGCGCAGGCCAGACAGATCCTGTGACAGAGAATTATCTGGTGAACTGTCAGTCCTGCTGTTGGGACCTCAGTTCCATAGGATGTTGCAAGCAGTGGTTCTGGTGAGGGGAGCCTCCTCAGAAGCTGCAGGTGGGTGAGCTGCGTTTTTCTTTCTTCCACCAGAAAATATGAACTGTAGCCATCATGGAGACTGGCTGCTGTTGGCCAGTCCTCAAGGTGGGCCTCTTCCCCAGAGGGTGGAGCCAGGTGAATTTCCGAGTCATAGGCCTGGAGCCCAGGCTAGAAGTTTCCAGAAGTGATGGAACTATGTTGTCCAGCAGATTCCCAGAGCCCTGGTCTTCTTTAATTTCATGGAGTCCAGTCTGAAAGTGGTATGGAAGTCTCCAGAAGGGAGGAAGCCAGCTGGACAGGACTCCGAGGAGAGAGTCCTGAGGGAGATCTTGGGAGCAAAGGCTTGGGTGAGGGTGGATGGAGGTTCCCATTTGATTCCAGGTGGTGGGAAGCTGCCATGTTCTCTTCCTCCTGGGTTCCCATTGTCTGCCGCGGGGAGAGGTAGGGAGCTTGCGATCCTCCTGCCCAAGTCCAGGCAGAGAAGCTGGTCTGGCGGTGAGAGCAGGACTCGGGCAGTGAGGATGGGGACGAGTCCCCCTCTGTGGCAGCATCTGCCTGGTGCTTCAGAGGTTGGTTTTAAGGAGATGGAGATTTCCGTGTGGAAGAGCATTCCTATCGTCCGGGCTTGGCTCACCCCAGCCTTCTGTCCACCACGTCTGTGTCCATCTGAAGAAGTCAGGGGCGATCTTAATGGTTGATCCCTGCTGCATGGCCCAGTCCCAGAAGGTGACCCTCTGCAGACCTGCTGGAACAGAGGAAATCCGCGCAGCATGACAGGGTGACTTGGTGTCTCTATTCTGGGGAACCTGGCAGGCAGCTGAGCAGGAAAACCCAACCTGTTTCTGGGGCCCTTGGATTTCTGCTGCTGCCCACCTCAAAGCCCAGCAAGGGGGAGTCAGGATGGAAGAGGAGAGCTTGGGTCTGGCTGTTGGGGCTGATTGAACCATGGTGAATAGGTCTCTCACCAGCCTGACTGCAAACACTAGGTCCTCAGCCTTCCCCTGCTGATGCTGGGGCAGCTGGAACAGGCTTGAATCTTGTGTGATTTATGGTGCGATTTAGGCTATTCAGCACCCCTGGAGAAACAGCCATTCTAAGTGGAGGAGATTTCCAGGTTTCAGAAGGTTTGTAAAGTTAAGAAATTTCGAATTCTTCTTCTCTAAAGCTTAATAATTTTGGATAGAAATCTCTTTTAATGCTGAGCACTGGACCCTCTCCCCTTTGGTGATACTCCAGGGTCATCATCATCAATAAAATTCTTGTTTAGGGCTAGAAAACATGTTTGCTTTGCAAAAAAAAAAAAAAAAAAAGCCCCTGAAGTCCTTATTATGTTTGTTTGTTTTGGGGTTCGTGGGATTGAACCCAGGGGCTGTCTACCACTGAGCTACATCCCCAGCCCTTTTTATTTTTTATTTTGAGACAGGGCCTTACGAAGTTGCTGAGGCTGGTCTCGAACTTGGGATCCTCCTGCCTCGGCCTCCTGAGTCGCTGGATTAGTCATGTGCCACTGTGCATGGCCTGTTGGTTTCTTAGTGTCCTTTTTCCCTCCTGTTTTTGGATACTGCTTGTCACCGTCCACACATATTCCTTCTCTCTCCTTTCAGTTTCATTGATTTTAGTCTGCGGTGGGCTTGGACAGCAGACATCCAGAAGGTAGGCTTCTTGGAGCAACGGTGTTGGGAAGCATCTTCATGTGATGGTTCTCCTCGGGTCTCAGGAGATTTGAAAATGCATGGACATAGTGACAGCTGTTTTGATGCTCAAAATCTTGTTTTCCTTTGCTTCCTGGTTCCGAGGCAACAGATAACTGAGGCAGTCTTCATCCCGTCAAAAGTGATAACCATAAGCAACATGCGTAGTGTTTCTGTCCCAAGCAGTTTTACCTGCTTTACCTACAGCATACTTGCAGTAGTTCTAAAGAACGAACTATTATTATCGAGCCGTTTTCAGTTAAGAAAGCAGAGGCACAGAGAAGTTACGTTCAGGGGAAACACAGCTGATAGAGCAAGTGGCAGAACTGGGACTTTACCTGAGTATACCCCCCCTCAGCCAGCACTGCTGCTGGTGGATGCTGGGTAGTCAGTGAGAACCCACTAGTATCTGCCCAGTGGGAGGGGAAGGGCTGGGGCGGATACCTTTAATGCTTCTGATCTTGGAGACTATGTAGGACACCCTCCCTTTGTATCCCTTGTCCCCAGGCTGTAGCTGGTATGGAAGAGGTGACCCTCCCTTAGCTGAACACAATTCACAGCAGCTCAGAGGGCATTGCAGCTCCTCTTTGGTGGCTCTTTCCACCATGTAGCACTGCCCAGGTGAGGGACCCTGGGGTCCACCAAACTACCTGAATTCTAAAGGGACCACCATGCATTTCTTGCCTCATCTCAAAGTCCTGTGTAGAAATATTTTAAGAGCCATTCTGCTTTGTGACCAGGATTGTAAGTTTTATAAGGCACATTAAAGGGGAAGAGAAGATGGAAGATTTGTTGAAAAACACCCCCTCTACACCCACCCAGCTCTTTCTGGGACCTGCAGACTCTGGCTCTGGGCAGCGTGGTCCAGGTCTCTGTTTGCTCTGCCTGTGTTCACAAGGGGCCCTGGGGCTGGGTTGTCACTCCCTGCCCTTGTAGAGCATGCTGGGACTTGTCTCCTTGGTTACAACTCTAGGCAATTCTGTTCCTCTCGCCCTCCTCAGCCAGGGTGAAACTGTGATAGCTGGGCGCTACACTCAAGGTCCCCTTACCTGGGCTGTGCACACAGTAGTTTTAAGAAAGTCTGAAGAGACTTGATGTTCCTTGGACAGCATCTTGATGAGGCCTTATGCCCTGTGACAAGCTGATACCAGAAAGTCCAGGAAGCCAGTTCCTGTTCTTAGGGTTTCCAGTGTGATGGTGTTGGGGTACAGAGCACAGACTTGGAAACAACAGAGTCAGTAGGGTGGTGCTCTAGCAGCCTAGGAGCAAAGCACTATGGGAACTTCTCAGCAGGGAGGTGGAATGGCATGCCAGGGACTGGTTCTGGTTGACAGTGTGGCTCTACCTGACACTGCCATGCTGGAAGTGCCCAGTGATCTTTGTGGCATGAGTCTTTAATCTGCACCTTTCAGACCATAAGTGATGAAGTACTTAAACTTGGCGTTAGTGGTGGGTCAACCTGAGAGGTACTGATGAACTCCAGAAAGGACCTAATTCTATTCTATGCTGAGAGCCTTGGGTATGTTCACTCTTTCCATGATCCTCTGCTCTATCCTGGCCTCATAGGATGGAGGCAGAACAGAGTAGGGGGTTCCCTGTTATTTTTTTGGAGTCACATAGCCTGGGTTCAAGTCCTAGATCCATGACTTAGCAGGTTTATGATCTTAGTCAAGCAATTGGCTCATGTGAACTACAACTTCTCCATCTAGAAGTCGGGCAGGGTGCCCTGGTACCACTAAGAGTTACTGTGAAACAAATGGATGGTCCACATAAATTACCATGCATGGGCCCTGGCACGAGGTTGGTACTTGTTGGGCGTTGCTGATCTCTGTTCTGCCTGTTGTTAGGGGTCCAGGAAGGCCCAGCTCCCTGGGAGTGTGTACCTGGAGCTCTTCCCTCCCTCTCTCTGCAGACAGTGGAGATGAGAACTCTGAGGGAAGCCTGGTCGAGAACCATGTGGATGGGACCATGAACATGTTGGGAGGTGGCGGCAGTGCTGGCCGGAAGCCCCTCAAGTCAGGCATGAAGGAGCTGGCTGTGTTCCGGGAGAAGGTCACCGAGCAGCACCGGCAGATGGGCAAAGGAGGAAAACACCACCTTGGCCTGGAGGAGCCCAAGAAGCTTCGGCCCCCACCTGCCCGGGTCAGTGGGGCCGAGTCTGGTTGATGGGGGAGGGCATGGGAAAGGAGTCTTCTAGCTGGGGAGGGCACCCTCTTAGGACCACGCGCTGAGCTGCTGTCTCAGAGCATTTTTGTTCCCATTACTGCCACTAACATATTCAGTGACCTTTGGGCTATAAGATGGACTCGATATGGTTTCTTGAAGTTTATTCCTTCTAAAACCTCTGCATTTCTACTTGACTCTGGGAATCGGTGAAGAAAACAGCCCCAGGGATGATGAAGCTTGCTCACCCTTGCTGCAGCGGGTCCCTTTCCCCTTTCCATCTGAGTCTTAGTATCTCAGGTCTGGGCCCTGATTGGGTTTGTGGCAGAGACAGGTGCTTGAGCCATGGGTTTGGTATAGACACTCTGGAGGTAGCCCATTTTGATCTGTTAATCACAGATGGAGAAAAGGAGTGAAGGAGTGAAAATCACGTGCATATGAGTTTCTTTAGGGATGGGTTGGGCACAGTGAAGTCACCGGACTGGTTGTCATTGGCCGTACTTACTAGCTGCGTAGCCTTGGGAGTCTCTTCCCCGGGGGCATGTTGCTTTCAAGACAATATCCAGGGCCAGCATTTGTGTGCCCGTTCTTCTCACTCTGTGCCTGCTGCTTGCAGACCCCCTGCCAGCAAGAACTGGACCAGGTCCTGGAGCGGATCGCCACCATGCGCCTTCCTGATGATCGGGGTCCTCTGGAGCACCTCTACTCTTTGCACATCCCTAACTGTGACAAACATGGCCTGTACAACCTCAAACAGGTGAGTGTGGGTGCTAACCCGGGCCAGAGAGGCTGCTTCTCAGCCGGGGGCCCTGGTGGGCCTGGTTCCTGCCCCACCCACCCTTAATCCTCTGAAGCCTGAGAGCTGACGCAGGCTTCTGTAACCATGGGGATGGGATGGCAGTGCCAGCTGCCAGGCCAGGGAGGGTGGGGCTGACTCCACTCTGCCAGCCACCTGCCCATGGTGCTAGTGTCCAGGTGGGGAGGGAGCCTCCAGGAGAAGTGGGCATAAAGCAACCACCTCGGATTTTACAGAGGAATAATACAGTCACCTGAAGCCCATTTCTGGGTCCACACCCAGAGGCTGATTGGGTGCGTTGGATGGGGACCAAGAGTTTGCATTTCTACAAGCTCCAGGCGATGCTGATGGTTGTCCATGAACCACATTCTCAGAGTTGCCAATTTAGTCCAGTGTCCAGGTAGCTGCTCTGGTTTTCAGGATCTCAGGGGACGAGAATCGGGGATAGAGAAATACCATTGAAAATATTTCTGAAAAAACGACCAGAACATGGTTCCAAGTACATGGGAGAAAGTGGAGGAAGTTTACCAGGAGCCCTTTGCCCTCCCGGCTTCTGCTTTCTGTTCTGCTCTCCTTTCTGTATTTGAACGATCGATGTGCATTTGCAGTATTTCCCTCTTAAGATTCTAAATATTTTCCACATAGACCCATGTGTGGCTTATCACTGTAGTGATGAAACATTGATCAGTTGTCAGTTTCCGTAGCCCACCCCTGGCTTCCACCTCCACATCCCTTTTATAGGGAGGAGTATGCATACAATTCCTGTAGGAATGAGACAGAGACAGTGCCGTCTGCAGCTCATTCTGTTCTCAGCCCTGGCTGCACACTGGGATTTTCTGGGAGCTTTATAAAATATGGATGCCTGGGCTTACCCCAGAGATTTAGGTTCTGGGGTCTGGGGTGCTTTCTGGGACAGAGTTTTAAAAGCACCCTTAGCGATCCTAATGAGCAGTTGGCATTGAATTAAAGGGTGGATGCATGGAGCCAGGAGATGGGGTTCAGGGCTCTGTTGATCCCTTGGGGGGTCTCACTGCCCCACGTCCTTCACCACATCTTGCCTCTTAAAACATTACTCAGGTGTTAAAAGCTATTTGTAGATCTGTCCATCAGATGTAAGGCACCTACTTCATTTGGAGCGCAGGAGAAGTAATGATCTCTTATGAAAAACAGGCTGTGTACTGTACCTATAGGCAACTAAAATGATCCATAAGTGTAATAGTTAACATATGGTTTAGGGAGTGGGGACCCTGGAATGTGCATGCCGAGTTTGAATCTCAGCTTGGTTCCTTACTAGCTGTGTGACCTTGGGCAAGGTTTTTGACCAATGTGCTTCAGTCCATCCCCTACCAAGTGGGGATCATAATGGTAACCTAGTTGTCAAGGTGGTTGTGAGGATTATGGGAATGGTGGTATATCTCTTATATAACATATGGCACACACTTACTTTTATTCTGATGTGAGTTTTTTCACCTCACACTACACTGGGTCCTCCACTGGGGGGACCTCCTTGAGGGTGGGAGCTGGGCCTTTGTCCGTGGGAATCTCGAAAGACAGCCCTACTGACAGCAGTGATCCCTGGTCAGCAGCCTCCGCGTCACTGTGGAGCTTATTAGCAGGCAGAGTTGCAGATCTGCCTAAAACCTACTGAATGGGAATTTGTATTTTGTCAAGATTCCCAGTGCACCTGGGAGGTTGGGATGTGCCACCCTGCAGCACTAGCTCAGCTCAGGGTGGGTGTTGAGTAAACCCTCAGCTGAGTGCAGGAAAGAAAGTGGATGGTTGCTGGGGCATCTTCTAAGTTCTCCTCTTGTCTCTTCCAGTGCAAGATGTCTCTGAACGGGCAGCGTGGGGAGTGCTGGTGTGTGAACCCCAACACTGGGAAGCTGATCCAGGGAGCTCCTATCGTCCGGGGGGACCCCGAGTGCCATCTCTTCTACAATGAGCAACAGGAGGCTGGTGGGGCGCATGCCCAGAGGGCACAGTAAGCCACAGTCAGCCGGTGCCTGGCCCCCGCCACCTCTCCAAACACAGCGGAAATGAAGAGTGCTTGGGTGGTGGGTGTGGAGGATTTTCCAGCATTTTGACATGTATTTATATTTGGAAAGAGACCAGCACCGAGCTCGGCACGTCCCCCTCTGCCTTGCCCCTCCCCAACTAGAGATGCTTGCTCCCTCCCCTTCCTGCTTCTCCCTGGGGAGGAGGGGAGTCTGTGCTGGGGGAGTTGGGTGAAGGTTTGGGCAGGGGTGGGGAGAAAGAAATTTTTATTTTTGAACCCCTGTGTCTCTTTTGCTTAAGATTAAAGGAAGGAAAATTAAAGAGTGTGTCTTGCCTGAATCTTTGGGTCCTCCCTGGGAAAGAGTTCCTGAGGCTTGTTGAGCTTCAGGAGAATGGGAAAGGTACTGCTCTAGCCCCCCACCTCCAAACCCCCAGTGGGAATTAGCAGGCAGCGGGAAGGGCAGCCTCCTGTGTCCAGATCGAACACCTCAGTGCAGCCCCAGGAATCTGCTGTCTCCTATCTGTACTCTTAGGGGAGACTTCCTGCCCCCATGGGGACCCTGGCTGGCCCTTTATAGGGGCAGGGCAAGTGGTGGGAGAGGAGAGGAAGAGAGCATAAGTCTGTGTGTTCCTCTCTGCCACAGTGAGATGACATTCTAGTGGAAGACAGGGAACTGGAAACACTGACATTGGGGCTCTCTGGCCCTAAAATGAAGGAGAATGCCCTCTTGCCCCCAAGGGGAGGCATTTCAACTCTGCCTCAAGGAAAGAGTTGGGCTGTTGTTGACCAGCCTATCTGCAAAGGTCTGACTCCTGACAATTCAGGAGCAGCTCTCTGAGGGGCCCCAATAACTGTCCCCCTGACTGGCAAATGTCCACTGGGTTCAAAGGACTGTATGTGTGTAAGTCAGGCTGAGGGGCTGTGGAAACGGGGTGACAGTACAGGAGCAGGGGTTATTTCTTAAGCTCTGTGTCCAAGCTCTATCACTTTGTTCTGGTCCCCCTAAGACCTAGTGGAGCCTAGGGGTTCCCTCCCCCTGCGTTGCAGTGGGCCACGTGGTGAGGAATGGCGGCATCATAAGGCCCACTGTCCCCCTTCTCAGCTCCTGGTGCTGGCATGACTTTTCGGGGTACTCCCTGCCCTTGTCAGACCCTCTGGCCACTGGGAGGCCCCTCCAGTGGCTTTGCCCTGTGCACCTCCCCCCCCTTCTGTCTAGAAAGCCTGGAGAGGCTGAGGACACAGGGGTCCTTGCCAGGTGTGACATGAGCTTACTTGGAGTGCGAGAAATCCTAGAGAACAGAACAGGCCAGGGCCAGCATGAGTCCAGCTGCCCTGAAAGTACGTGAATTCCGTTCATCCTCGCGAACTCATGAAGAAGGCATTGATAGTAGTTTCACTTTACAGATGAGGGAAAGGTCCTCAGAAGTTCTCCAACTGCTGCCCCGGCCCCAGGAGGCCCCCCAAATCCACAGCAGGCTGCTGCTCAGCCTGGGTTATGCTGCCCTCCTGTGGGCAGAAGCAGGACATGACACCTGGAGAGACTGGAATGGTTTTTGGGCACTATGCTGAGAAGCACATTCATTCTCTGCCTTGGCGCATGTTTGAATGGACAGGGACACTTAAATGCCAATGTCAGGATCTCATCTTCAGAGATTCTGGACTGATGGGTGTGCGGGGCAGCCAGGCAGGGTGTTTTTCTTTTATAAGGTTTCAGGTGTTCTGATGGGTATAGTCAGGGCTGAGGTGAGATGGATGGGTTTGGATGGTTCCACCATACACTGCTGCGTTCCCACGGGCTGTGTCCCTGTCCTTTTTTGGGGGGTGGTGGGTATTGAACACAGGGGTACTTAACCATCGAGCCACCTCCCCAGCCCTATTTTGCATTGTATTTAGAGACAGGGTCTCACTGAGTTGCTTAGCACCTCATCTTTGTTGAGGCTGGCTTTAAACTCACGATCCTCCTGCCTCAGCCTCCCGAGCCGCTGGGATTATAGACGCGCACCACTGTGCCCAGCTGTCCCTGTCTTTTTTGAGCTACAGTTTTTATTCTCTGCCTAATGGCAATGCTTTGATCCTTGAATAATGGTGATGTCCCCAAGAGATTGTGGGTGTGAAGTGCTTGTACAACAGAAACACTACCAGACAGGGGGGAATTTTCACGGGATGTTGCTGGATCAGCTCTCTGCCAGCCCTGGGCCCCAGGGTTGCCACCTTGCTTAAGTCCTTTCCTGTAACATTCTCCAGAGGGCTCCTGAGATGCTACAGCCATTCTACCCATTTCATGTCCTTTGCCCATAGGAGGAAGGGGACTTCTAGTGTGTGAGCAGCACCTCTGCTGTAGTTCTGCCCACAAGAACCACACTAACTGTAATATAGTGCAACCAGGAAGCCTTTGTTGGAGGAAGGTTTAATTGCATCTATGTGGGCAGGCAGCTGGCCTGCAGGGATCTTGAAGGTGTCTCACCTGAGTTCAGGCTCTAACTTCAAGGTTGGCTGTTGCCAAATGCGGGTCTATACTGTCACCTTGCGGCAGCCTGAGGAACTACAGCTTAGCCTATCTTGGGTGGTGAAGACTTATTTCTTGAGAGGCCATCCTAGGAACCCAGAAAGAGTCAAATGGGGATGCTCCTTAATTGTGGAGTCTTAGACCGCTCAGATTGCCTGAGTTGGGAATGCAGGAAGGCACCTGTGAATATGCATTTAAATATACTTCCTGTGTGATTTGTACATAGGACTGGAGACTTAAATTGTAGGGCAAAATGAAAAATTGGAGCCCCCTGTTCAGGAATCACTAAGCATTTTAAGACAGAGACAGAAAAGCATTAAACCAAGCACAGGGCCCTGTGTGACTGCACAGATGCAAACCACCCAGATTTGCAGAATCCCTACTGTAGTCACTGAATCTTATGTGACTTTGGACACATTTCTAACCTCTATGAACCTCATTTATTTTCATCTTAAATATTGGGGTCATTTCTATCTCAAAGAGTAGCTTTGAGAATATGAATTTTTTTTCTATCACAGAGTAGGTGTTGCTTAAATACACTTATCACTGTATCCCAGGCTCAGTGACAGGGTGTCAGGGTGCGGAGATGAAAAAGATTATGGCCTTTGCACTGCAGGGCTGATATTCCAGTGCAGCAAAACAGCTTCATAAATCAGCGATACAGTCACGGGATACAGTGTGATGGAGGTGTGCCCTCCAACAGGTGCTCTAGAAGCGACTGGGAAGAACAGGCAGGTCTGCTGCCAGGGAAGGCATCTCAGAGGGAGGTGCAGAGATGGAGTTGTAAGGAAGAAGCAGCAGTTAGGGGAAAGGACCATGCGTGCACATGTGTGTTTGTGTGTGCATGTGTGGGAATTCATGTGTGTGCATGTGTGCAAGGAACAAAATTCAGGGGCAAAGGCTTCAGTCCTGAGCTGCACCATGAACTTGGAGATGTGCAGGTGGTTGAGATTGTGTTTGCTGATGGGAGATTCAGGCAGAGGACAGCTGAAGAGGAAGCCAGAGAGAGGCTCCTCGGGAAGGACAGTGGGTGTCTTACTAGGGCCTTTTAAACCTGGGGCAGAAGTCAGGAGGCATCAAGGAAGGAATTTAGGCTCAGGTTGTACAAAATAATTGGATCTGTGTTTAGAAGGTGAACTGATGTAGCAGGGAGCCCAGGACTCGGTGACATATTGGATGTGGGTCTAAGGGAGGCATCAGGACTGGTACCTAAGGGTCCAGTTCAGAGAGCTGGGTAGATGGAGGTGCCATTGCCTGAGACAGGAGGAGGAGCAGGGGGAGGAGGACAAGGGCAACACAGAGGGTAAAGAGAAGAAGGAACAGGGATGGCTCCAGGGAAGATGATATTGAACTTGAACTTCGTAGGGTATAAAATGTGGTGATAATAGAGGCAAGTACCTGCGCTCCAGGATGAATTCACGAGGATATGCTGAGTTTGAGTCTCTTGGGGGGCACTGGTGGGGAAGGTACTTTGCCTTTCCCCTAACCCTCGGGTTCTGCACTGTGCGGGAGGAACTATGTTGGAAGGAGGGGCTTCTCCAGGGCTGAGGTGCTGCCTCCAGGCAGGTGAGGCCCAGACAGAGGGCAGAGTGGGAGGGCTGAGGGATTAGGAAAAAAAAAAAAATGGGCAAGACTTCATCCTGACTCTTCATTAGGCAAAATGCTGGCTTCGTGGGTTTTGCCCCATTTCCCTCATTTAATAGTAGGATTGACATGAAAGTGGGATTTTTTCAGAGTTTAGATGTGGAACCCTTCAGGGTCCCAAGGCTTGAGCATAACAAAATGGATGGGGAGGAAGACCCCTGGAGTTGGAGCTATGTGACCTTGGACCACCACACCCTGGGTGTGAGGGTGGGAGTCAAGCAGATGCTAGGCCCAGCTCAGTCTGTAAGTCCCCCTCCCCCAACACCCCCTCCCCCCGTGAATCATAAGGTTGCTAAGGTGCCTTTTGAGTTAGACTGAATTGTGCAGGTGGAGAGCAAGGGGTGGAGTGGCCAAGACCCAGAGTCTTAAATGGCCACATACCTCGTGCAGGGAGTTAGATGTGGAGGGAGTGGGGTAAGGGTGTGTGGGCTAGGATCATGATAGCTGGGGATGAGATGAGCCCCAAGGGTGAGATGAGCCTGGGGGAGATCCTGGCTCATGCCCTCTCCAGGCATAGTGTGGATGACCGATTCCCAGGGAGATTCCGGGGAGGCAGCATCCTGTGGCTGGCCTTCCATGCGTTCCTCTTTTTTAGGGGGGTGGGGTGCTACCGGGGATTGAACTCAGGGCACTCGACCACTGAGCCACATCCCCAGGGTCTCATGAGTTGCTTAGTGCCTCACTTTTTGCTGAGGCTGGCTTTGAACTCTCAATCCTCTTGTCTCAGCCTCCCGAGCTGCTGGGATTACAGGCGTGTGCCACAGATTCCTCTTCCCATCTCCTTTCAAGGTGCCTGGAGAAGGAGCCTGTTCCCTCTCTGCACCTCCTGCCGCACCTGC